TAAGGCTGATCTCAAACTAAACCTCCAGGACAGAAGGCTGGAAAGAGCAACCCATTGCAACACTCAGAGCAGCTCTGAGAAGGCAAGCATCCTCCCAGCCTGTGTAACTTGCAAAGAAAGAATTAAACAGTAAAATTAAGCAATGGTATAATTTACTGCTTAGAATTTACTAATATCCAACCTAGGAAGAGCACCAAGGGCTATAAACATTTCAAGACACTTCACTGTGTTTTATCACTATATTAGAGAGTACTTGCCTTTTAACACTTATTTAAGAAAATAAAAAACTTCTGAGCAGTAGCTTCCTGTGAAGACATAAATTAGCATGTTCTGACCAGCCACACTAAGTGCAGTACAAGCATCTTCATGTCAGCTATACAGACTAAAGCCTATATGTACTTTTAGCTATGCTCAGTGCATTTGCAGAATGATTCGAAACTGGGGAGAAGGATTAACTGATGCTCTTGACATTATGGTGCAGGTCTGATTCGAAACTGGGGAGAAGGATTAACTGATGCTCTTGACATTATGGTGCAGGTCTGAGTTTCGGCACATGAGGCTTCGGCTCTGCCTCTGCCTGCCTGCACAGCCACAGGCATATCACTTAACCTCAGTGTATCTCAGCTCTGTATCTATGAACACACGGTAAAAATGCCTCTTTGGTTGCCAAGATTAATTCATATTGTGTTTAAGAGCCCACAAACTGTTTCTATACACAGAGAGAGGCAACTTGACATTTCAGGGGAGACAGACCACACTAAAGAGCTTACATTACAAGGGCTCAACCCTGGCAGACACTAAGAACCCTCTTTTCCAATAAGACCATCTCCTGTAGTCAGTGGCTCCCTTGGCCCTTCAGAGGCACATTACTCTCACCACCCAATGCCACATCAACACTATTTGCTTAATGAATAATGGCAGTTCCAACCTAGGTGCGGGATGAGGCACTAAAGCAGACTACACCAGGTATCTGAATCCATCCCTGGAGCTGTTAAACTTGGAGGATAGCTCCTTGCAACAGGCTAAAGGAATCCTCCTGCTGAGCACACAGAGGCCCGAGGACCGTGTGCCTAACAAGGCTGTATCCCCACTCATATTTTAGCTTGGCAGGTCTGGTGCTCCTTTCATCTTTTGCTTCAGGTAGCTCTCTTTAATTAATAACATTTCCAAGTCGACACAGGGAACTTTCCACCCAGAATGAATGGCCCTCTCTCATTAGAACCATGACTTGTCATGATGTATTCAAGAGCAGGAGTGTGATTCATTCCCTTGTCTGGGAACGAGGGGTGTTGCTGGGGGGTGGGGGGAAGAAGAGTCTCTGTAATGAGTGACTGATATTTGCTGAAGTTGATATGCGACTCTGTCGGCTTGAACTGCCTTGTCAGGACAAGCCTTCAAGAAAGGTGATGTTCCTACTCAAGAGGTTTTCCTCATTAAAGAAATTGCATCTTAACAGGAGGGAAGGGGAGGGGTGGCAGGAGAGCTGCTGTCTCCCTGCCTCCAGCCTGGTTCACACACACCGAGCACTGAAAGCGGGCTGATCCAAGCACAGCCCGTAGAGGATCAGCGTTCCATTTCGGAGGAACGCTCACACAATGAGCTCTCTCCAGCAGTAACCAATCCCTCCAACAGGGACACTCCTTCTGATGGTCCACCACACCCACAACAAAGCCTTTGATAGCATGGCCAAGGACCTCAACTCATGCTAAACCTCCATAGGCCCCTCCCAGATGCTTGGTGTCCTGTTCTGGGCACCCAGCTCCTTGTGACTAGTGCTCCCTGTTGTCTGAGGGAAGCCAGACAAACAGCTCTGTGGTCTTCCAAGAAAGCTTCAATGTTCAAGAGCAACCAAGTTTGTAGCCACACAGTGCCTCATTCCCTGAGGATCCCTGAGTCAAGCAGAGGCTTCACTGATCCTGTAGCTGTTTCCAATTTGAATCCTGCAGACTCAGATAGTGCCAGACACCATCAGCAGAGAGCAATACCTTGACAGTCACTATTCCTCCAGTGCTTTTCTTTGACATACTCCTGGCTTAGACAGGGCTATTTCCCCATCTTGTGCCCAGATCCACCACTGACAGGCTTGTAGATTCCTCCTCTTTGTTCCAGCCTGTCATGGTTTGAGACCCCCAAAAATCCAATTTCCAATTTCCAAGCCCCCCCCAAATTTGCTTCAGTGTGAGAGGGTTTTCAGACATAACACAATTGCTAGCATGAGGAAATTGTATCAAAATTTATTATGAATGCAATAATACTATAATACATTATACACAACAATTCTAACTATCTCTTCCCCACATCCAGTTTGCTCATCCTACTGGGCCTTCCAGTGCCCTGGCATCTACCAGTGGTACCTACTGGAAGCCCTCACAGCAGACAGGCCAGTCCAGAAGACATCATGCCTCAGCTCTTCAACAGCACATGCAGACGAGGGTCAAGCTAAATGCCCAGGTCATTGCTGGAACAAGGCTGCATGGTTTACCAGCCAAGCTAAGGACAGTGGAGGACAGGAACTTCACACCACTCAAGACACAGGTAAGAGGACTGCAGCTTGCTCTGCAGGCAGCCATGCAAGTAGCTGTCATTACTAAGGAAGCTGTCATTACTAAGGAGCGGACCTGCCACAAGTGGTGGCTCCTTAAGCCAGGAAGCACTGCACTCACCTCATTGTCCTGAATTCCTCTGGAACCCACTTGGGTTTCTACCACACAATGCTTTCACCAACACACTCCTCCAAATGTGGACAAGCAGCACTGCCACCCCTCCTATTGCCCCAGTGCCTTCTGTGCCCAGTGTGTGGTCTCAACACAGTAGCAAAGGACACTAGCTACACCACAAGTCTTGTAGGGAAGCATGGGGTGATTCCCTGGAATACCTCCTAGATGTTCCACATCTCTGAGGCTCTATCTCCCTGTCTGAGCAGCCTTGTTTCAGCTCTCTGCTTTCTCTCTTTAAAAAGAGATGCTCAGTTCTGCTTTGCTAAACCCTATTTGGCAATGTGTCTAAACACACGCAAACTTAATTAGTTCAGGAGGGAGACTCGGCATTTCTGGTGACGGATAAAAGTAAGGGGAAATGAGACAAGTCAGAGCTGGCAGGGAGTCCTCACTCGAGCCTCATCCACTGGCACAGTGCTAATCAGATGTGACGCTACACGCTGCAGCACCCAATCGGCGACGGAGCGGCGTGATGTGCTACTCACCGAGCGGCTGCAGCCAGACTCCTGCTATCCATGTGGCTGGAAACACGAAATTTTCTGCTTTGCCCTGCAGATGCTTCAGGATTGAATTCTGAAGTTAATGGTTTAAAAAAATTTTTTAAAAGGAAGCGGGAGAAATGAACCACTCGCTACAACCTCATGGCCAGAAGTGGAGTCTTCTTTTCCAGCTGACTAGTGAGGGACAATCCATGCGAGAGACCACTGCAGATGGTGAACTGTGTATCTCTGCTCCAGAACTGCATGTCCTGCTGAGCCAGCTCACCCCACAATCCCTAGGCTCACCAGAAATGGGGCTCATCTTTACCTCTGTTTGGCCATGGTAGAGCTCTGAAGGAAAAAAAAAAAGCCACCCAACGTATCCAGGTTGCTCGCTCCATACAGATGCCAAGTTAGGATGTTATCTGGTAACCTTGTCAGCCCACTGTGAAAGTGATGGAAAGATGGGCCTGAAGCAAAGATAACTGTTTCTTACAACCATCACCAAAAGTGGCAAACTGGGCTCTCAGAACAGCAATACAGGAGTAAAGAACAGAGAAAATAGAATAGACGAGAAACAGAAGTTTAGCACAGCAGCTGTGGTCTCTAATAGAAGTTTAAACATTATATATAAAGAAAAATAAGCCTCATTCTTCATTTAAGCAGCTAACACAGGAACCTGGAATATATACCAGCTCTGGACACAGCTTGAGCAGAGACCCAGACTTTGACTCAAGAGCTCACATACCACCCCCTGACTGGAGCATGGCCAATTTCTCATCTCCGCTAGCGCTTGTGCTGAGCTTTGGTCCTCACATCTCATTTCTCACTAATCACACCAAGAAAAGGCAAGGAGCTGCCACTCCACAAAGACCACTCTGCAGGGAAGAACTGGGGCTGATTGCTCCTAGGCTGTGTGCAGTTTATTTAGGCTTCCGACTTGGGGAAGCCAATGTCACAGTGGAAACCAAGTCATACTACTAACGAGTTGTGGCTGTCAGTTTAGCATCGGATGTGTCAAGCCCGTGCTTTACTGGTGTGATAACAACAGCAGTCTTTATCCAGCACTGTGGGGAAATTAAAAATGAAGCAAGATTATAGGAATCCAAAGGAATTCAGCACAATATGACGCTGATCTGCAAACACTTTACGGATTAAAGCAATGTTAAACAGACATTTAACTCTGTTCTTATAATAACATTTTTAGGTTGGTGGTCTAGCAATGTTCCTGACAAAACATGCACATACACCAACATTTGCAGATCTCAGTGCAGGTTCCCACCAGATACAGTCACTCAGCTGGTGAAGATGACCTTAACGATAAGAACACCAATGAATCATGCCAGAGCTGTTTTGTATTCTGTCCCAAAGACTACTCTGTGATTCACATCGAGTTACTGTGCCAAGATGACAGAGAGGAAGCCTTGCATGCGTCAGGTAAGGACCATCACTTGATTTGGGTGTACAAAAACAGCATTCCACGTATGCACTCAGAAATATCCATCCCTTTGGAAAGTATACTGGATAAAAAGGAAAGCACCACAAAACTCCAGTCTAAACCCCTCTTGGGATTCTGAAAGGATTCATTCACCACAGAGAATAACCTAGGCAGTGATCTTGCACTATGCCCAGCACCTGTCTTCCGAAACAGCTCTCCAGTGGCAGTTATGCACGGCAAACAACAATTCCCCTAAGAAACGACAATTAGGGACAGTTGCAGGCTTGCAAGGACAAAGACATAGGTGCTACAGGCAAGCATGGAGCAATAAAGCCCAGAAAAATCTCCCTCCCCTTCCATACTCACATCACTTTCAAATCCCAGTCTCCGCAGGTCACAAAAATCGACTTGACGCTGGGATCTAAGAGGCCTTCCTTTGCCATCCACTCGTCAACCCTCTGAAAGTAAGGCAAGAAAAGGGGATGAGTTTTGCGGAGACAGGCCGAGCCACAACAGTTAAACTCAGATAAGCTGCTTGCAATCAAGAGAGAAGAAAATTGTGATCTTATCCACCCTCTCCCTCTCTCTCTTCTCTCTTTGCTTGCCATCTCAACAACAGCACGTTTGGACCTTTGAAGATTTCTGATAGGAGACATCAGGCAACCAGAGCAGAGATGATCTTATCAGACACCGCAGCAGCTCTGCTCATGGAGGGATGGAAGTTGTGCAGCGTTAACGGGATGATACAACTGTGCTGTTACCTGGCATTTCTCCTCCACTTCTCCTCTCCCTGTACCAAAAGGGCTCCCAGTGAGCATAACTTATGTCCCCTTCACTGAGGACAAATACACAAGTATCCTGAGATGGCATCCCTCCCCTGCAGCATTTTTCACATGCTCTGATTCATACAGCTCCAAGGGGATACAGGAAAGGGGGGAAAATGGAAGGGCTGGGCACACACAGGCACTGTGTGGCAGTAACAAGCAAAGCCACATGTCCCCTTCCTTTCCAGTCTGGATCCCTCTTTCCTCCTTACAGTTCTGAGGAGATGCGTGTTCAGGGCAGTGTGGATTTAAAGTGAATCCACTATTCCTGATCAACTTTCCATAGGAGCAGAAGTTCTGGATCCTCTTCAGAAATGGGTCACGTTAATCTGGAGGATGCAATCCACCTGGGGAACTAAGCAGAAGGAACTAACCTAGACTAAAACCCCTGCATAGACACTTTGTCCAGCTAAAACTAGTAAATGACGTGCCTAAAATCTTGCGGTGGCAGGCAATCAGCTGCTATTATGCAGCCTCACTAGCAGCATTTTCCAAAGCTTCAGCAAGAGAAATCCGTCCTCTTTTCCCTCACCTGACACTTTTCACTCCTGAATAAACCAGCATGCCCCAGAAGCTGCCTGACCTGAATCTCATTTTAAGCTAGAAGTATGCTGCTGTAGGAACACCTTTTCGGTCCAAATAAAAAAAAAAAATCTAAATAAGTGTTTCCACACTGTAAGAAGCTTCCATAGAAACAGAACAAACCATTTTCTGGAATACTCCAGTAGCGATCTACATTCGCCCATCCAGGCAAAGAGGGCTGTCCCTCCCGGGGAAGCAGGCACAGGCGTCCATACGCTTATGGACACGCACGGCTGCTACGTGCTCTCTGGAGAGCACAGGGAGAGCTGGGGGTTTGCATGGATGCAAGATGTCACCTTCGCAGAGCACCGTCTTCGGTCTCGTGTCATTGCCGCAGCCTTTCCTGGCAGGGGTCGATGCTTCTTCCTGTGACCGATTGTACAACAGCCCTCTGAGTAAAGCTCCCAGGGAAAGCAGCATCCAGCCTCTCAGCCACACTTCTGCCTCCCTTGGGCTGACAGGATCTTCCAGCCAGCCTCGCACGAGGCTGCCCCAAGTTGGGGACAGCAGCAGTAACCCTTTTACGTTCCCTGATGTGAGCGCCCATGAAGTGCTGTCTCCGTGGAGGATTTTAAAGCCTTTAATTTGATTTCCTCAGATAAGCAATTGTTGCAATTATTCTGATTAGGAACAATTAGGTAACACAGCAGTGGAAATCCTGACAGAGACAATGCATCGAACACCAACCTGCAGCCCAAGTGGGCTCTGCTTGAGGAGGTTTCCTTCACTATCTGACTACCAACAAAAGCTATTGATGGAGAAATACTTCCAAGCTAATTAAGCCTTAAATGCTCTAGGAATTCAGCATTAGGCAGATAGTATTATTAGGGCTATCTCTGCATTTGCACATCCTCCAGATTAGATTTTAGAGGCATTTTCTTTCTATGCTACATGTATTATTGAGCATTTAAATAGGTAGAAAAATTAATTTAATAAAGTGCTGGGGAAGGGGAAAAGAAACGAAGGCAGAACCTCCAGGAGCAGTGGTCTCGAGCAATGTCTTGGTGCTTTAAAACCGGCTCAAGAAAGAATCGCCTCTTCTCCTATCTACTGGCAGGAGTTTGGATATCTTGTCAGCACCCTTGACATGAACAGCTGGAGATGACAGATCAATGGTTCAATACTCTCAGCAGCGTGTCACCAATGTGACAGCAAATGTTATTCTAATGAAGCTGTAATCATAGTCAAATTACGCGGTTCGATTCTCAGCAAGGGGAGGGTGCGGGGAAAGAGATGAAGAGGGGACGACAGGACCAGAGGTCAGAGTTCGAGAACTAAAGGTTACTCTGCTTACTTCAAGCACTTGCTGGAGGCTTGGCTGGCCATCCACCATGCCTTGAATAATCCCAGTCAGCTGAAACGAGAGACAAACAGAAAGCAGGCATCAGAGCAGCACTCAAAAGATCATTAGAAAGGTCTACTCTCCTGTCCATCTCTCTGCAACCAAAACATGCTCCTGTGACCCACATGGATGCTGCTGAGTAGCCAGTCACAGTAGAGTGACCCTGGCAGCTCCCCAGCCACAGGCAAGGGCACAGCTTCATCCCAAACACAGAAATGTAACGGGGCTCCTACCCACACCACAAAACAGCAAACTCTCGGCAGGGCAGGATCCACTTGGGGAGCAGTGTCATGCTTAAGCATGATGCCCTTTTAAACATGCATTTCACCTGTTTTGATGTTGCCTTGATGTACACAGGAAGCAGTAACTACCAAGGTCTCTGATCATTCCCCTGCTATTGCAGTTACACCAAAATTTCAGTGTTAGATGAACAGAAGAGACGATTGTTGGTAGGTGAGACCCAGAGTCGACCCAGTCATCCCCCCCTGCGCTGGGCAGCCAGCATGTTTTTTCCCATAGTCCATCACAGCATTCCTCTGCATTTCAAAATTGTACTTAGAACAATGGAATGAAACCTGAAGAAAAGTACTTTCTTCCAGAACCCTGTCCACTCTGTTTTTCAGGAGGTTCCTTAGGAACAGATCCTGCTAACACATAGTCCTACTGACTGCTCCTGGACTGCCTGGCTGTTTAAAGCTAAGACACAGACATAAAAAGATGAAGTCTCATGGGCCTCTGCCTGTGTCTGCCCAGGAGGGCTTGAGGCACATGGAAAAGAGATAATTTTTCTGTCTGCCTTCCAAGTGACAAAACTGTCTTTTAACATATTGAATATCGGACGTCAGTAGCTTGCCATCAATGCATCCAAGTAATTAAAAAAATCATTACTAAAACAAGTGCACACTATGGGATTTCACTTCATATGGCAGTTTCCTGAAGCTACACACCTCACACATTTTCATAAAATAAGGTCAATGCAGGAGCATGCCCTGGTGCTTGCACACTCATCCAGGGCTCCAGAAGCCATAGCACCTATTCGAGAGGTGCTGACAGCCTCACCACCACCCAGGAGTAACTCTTCCATGCAGACCAGCTCAACCTACTCCTAAAAATAAGCCCTCTCACAAGCCACAGGGTTTGGCTTTATTAAATATGTGGCAACTGAAGGAAGCTAAATGGTTTTTACCTCTCAATTTCTCTGGCTGCTTGGCTTACAGCATTGAACTCAGAGGATGGAAAAAGAAAAGATATTAAACTCCAATTAAACTGTAATTACACTTAATGAATACCAAATACCTGACTCACTGAATAAGCTGTAAGTAAAAAGATTATTTTCTCATAGTGACTTCCACAGAATGGTAATACATACCTTTTAGGGAAAGTATTTTAAGAATGTAAAGCTTTTCTACGTGGGTTTCTCAAGTTCATCAAGCCATTATGAGGCAGAAAGTACCAACTTATCTGTACAAGAACATACTGCCCAATACATACACACAAGATTTGGGCTGCAGAAATCATACACATGAATACAAAGGGATATACCTGCTCCATGGGTACATTTCAATACAAGTCAGAGAGTGCTCAAATGGGACCAGATTTATATTCTCTCACCCTTTCTGATCCTTTCTGTTATCAGTCACATCCACCTGTCACACCCAACCTAGTGCATTGGATCTCTGCAGCATTATCTGGTCTTGCAGCTTTGAAGAAGTACAAAAACATAAAACTGCACAATTGCAAAGTTTCACTGGTGATCCCAAGAAGCACACAGTACTTGGGAACACAAACAAGCTATAAGGCATTTATCTTTCTGTATTTTTATTGTCTATTCCTTCAGGGAAAAAAAAAATCAATAAAAATTAATCATAAAAAGAGAGCAAAGTACCATGAAAAAGCCTGTACAAGCACCTTCTGTGTAGAGAGAATCCTTCCTTTAGCTCCCAGCATGAACTTGCTTGGGCAGCAGACAAACCACTTGCATCTTCCAAAAGGGCATGATGAGCTTTATACACCTAGTAACAGCTTTTAACAACTTGCAAGCACTTTCCACCTTCTCCGCCTAAACACTCATCATAACACCCAGCCCTCATCATAACCAATCACAACCTGTTGTTTTACAGAAGCAGATCAGGAGAAAGGGAACCAGATGAGGGCTCAGAGTGAGCCAGTACTGGAAGACATGCTCCTGGCCATCCGTGTGGGGAGTTGAAGAAACCTCCTGTAGCCAGGAGGTGCATAGACACACTAAAAGCAAAGGGAGGGTGACCACAAGTTCTCCACCCTCCCAGGCACCCTTCCCATGCTGTGCTGTCCTCTTCAAGGAGGAAGAGGGATGGGAGAAGTACTCCAGACCCAAGGAGTAATGTCAAGCAACTCCAGTAACCCTCCCACACAGAGTCTATCCTAAGCAGTTCTACTGCTTCCCAGGAAAGGCAGGAAGCAGAGGGGAGAGGGGAAATCAGCAGCACGGCAGACAGGCTCCCATGTAATGTTAACAGCACTGCTTTTCCTAGAGAGTTTATCTGGGAAACCATCGTATTTCTACTCCAAGACAGTTTGCTGATTACCTAAGCACTTGTCTCTGGTGTACAATCTGATAATCAGGCCTGGTCTTTCTTTGTAGACAAAGAGGCCAATAAATCTCACCCTTTGTAAGTAGAGGTGCCTAGACAAAGCCCTTTACTGGCATTTAGCAAAATGAGTATTTTTCAGAAAACATAAACCAGCAGAAAGTCAATGGCAAGTGCTGGAGCTGTTCAGGCAGCAGCTCCACAGCAGCACGTCCTGGCTGTGTCCCTGGGGTCTCAAGGGAACCTACACCAGTGGCACAGGGCTGACCCCTACACCTGCCTTAGCAGCAGGCACCGACCCCACTATTTAGTAAGGTCCTCAGTACAATCAGTTCACCTGTGGCCTTCGGGGCAGGGCTTCAAATTCAGCCCCAGCTACAGGGCCTAGTGACAAGCCCAGTTACATTCCCAGCATGATCCTACTCCTGGACCTCTTTGCAGCCCCTGCAACAGGCCAGTGGACTGCCAAGCTGGGAGGGACAGCAGCCATGCTGGACACTAAGCAGCAAGGGGTGCAGTGGGAAGATGCCCAGGAGCCAGTGACTTCCAGACTAGGACTAAACCCACACTGTTAATAACAGAGGACTTGCCAAACCTGGCAAGTGGGACTTTTTCGTACCATTGATACACACAGGTGGGGGTTCTGCGACCATTTTGCCTGCTGGCATCAGCACTGCCTGTTTTCATCCAACTCTGGACACGATGCCAGACCACGATGAGCGGCAGAGTCTGCAGCACAACGCTGAGCTGGGACAGCCGTGCCCATCCTGGGGACTCCGGCAAACACGTGACCATCACACACACATACACACACAGAGCTCTGCTTGCTTTAGGGCTCCACACAGGAGACACAACAGGGGGAAGGATGAAATAGAGGGACTTCCAGAAAAAGGAATTTTGGTGGTAGTTAATGAGACAACTTCTCTCTAGAATTTAGAGGACTTGCAAAATGGACATTTTGGGCTCTACTCTTTCAGAAGATGGCGCTGTTTTTAGCCCAGATCAGGTGCAAACTGTGAGATTTATCACATTTGTACAAGCATATGTCCAGCAAGTCTCATGGGGATAAGGACAGCCAAAGTAGTTGTCCAGCCTTCTAGCATTAAGGTTGCAAAACGGTTTCCATTATAACCCTCTGTTCTCACACATTTATAGCTTTCTGAAAGCCCCTCTCCTGGGAATAACGTTTTCAGTGCTTAATCTTTTTTTTTTTTTTTTTAGTTGAAACAAAATACCTTCAGATGGTTTTCAGTTACAAGAGAATAAAAATATGTATTTGTTTTTACAATGTGAAAATATGGAAGGGGCTGGTTGGTCCTGGAGGGGACTCCACCTAAAACAGAGGAGTCATTTTTCATCAGATTAGTACATGTGGGACAAGCACTCCAAGGGCTTAAACCTGCAGCCAGCAAGGTAGGGGAAAACACACTATGGTGCTATGATCCTAGACAAGACAGGGACAGAACAAAGAACTTGGATACCCTGATTCCCACATTCGGTACTTTAGTCACCAAGCTGGCCAACATTGAACCAGTGGAGTGGCAGGAAAAAAAGCCCAAAGCAAGAGCAACTTAAAGTTTGTTTTGATGGTTACAACAAGAAGAAAGAACACACTTGGGAAAACATTCAACTTTTTGTGTTGAACAAAAAAAAACCAACCAAAAAACAACAAAACCCAACCCAACCCCTGCCCCCAATTCTTTTGAACCCTCAGGGACCGTTCTGCCCACCTTCATCCTGTATCTGTGGAAAGGTGGCCTCGGCTCAAGAGCAGCTGTACTCAGCAGTGAGAGTAACCAAGTAAAAAGAAGCTACTTCTCCAGCAATCATTTCAAGCACCCCACAAGCATGACATCAAAAAGAAAGTCTTAAAAATACAGACATCCTACCGCTCTGAAGGACTCATCAAACCCCAACATGCAGGCCCACAGGAGAGTCATTTAGAGCCTCTGAATACGCGGCCGTACAGCACTTCCTTCCCTCAAACCATGCTCTCTTTGACCTTCCCCACCACAGAGCAGCACAGCAAAATCACAAGAGCTCACAGGGAGGTTACAAGACTTTGAGCATCAGCTTTTATTTTGTGGTCACCCAGTTAGATGTTTGTTAATTGTAAATACAACTATCTCAGTCAGCAGATCACAGCTAGAGTTATTTATGAATCCAAAGTGAGGTCTTTACATGGTACTGTAATAACAAAAAATTATTCCCCTTGTCCTTAACCTAAGGCTGGCATGACACACTGCACTGCAGCTGAACCGTGAAGAGGTGACCCCAGTCCCTGGTGCAATGGAAACCTGCTTCCCAGGGAGACCCTTGGAGCACCAGGGAACCTTTGCACTTTACCTCTGTACAGAAGGGCGTAAGCTGGGGATGCACCACAGGCTGAACATACATGTGAAAGGTGGATTCGATCTCCATCGTCCTGCCATTCAGCTTCAGGATAGGGAATTCGATGATTTCCTGAATAGTGCAAAAAGAAAAGCAGTTGTTCATTTAAAATAAACAAAGAATGAAGCTAGAAATTATCCCATTTAGCAAGGTGGCTGTAAAAAGAGGGGCCCGATAGTCCCAAACAAAAATAAGCCCAACACAAAGCTCTGCAAAAGTGGGAAGGTGGTGCTGCAGCACAGAGCACATCCAACACCTCAGGCACAGAGCAGGATGGTGCTGATGCTCATCACAGCCAGGATGGCAGCAAGGAGGTCTCTGTGCCCAGCACTGCAGCTGCACACAGCCCTGCCTAAGCTGCACCTAAGGAAGACGGTCTCTCACCACCCACACGTGCTACCCATGGAACATGGAGATGTACCTGCAATGGGCTCAAGTCTGTTTGGCAAGGACATCCCAGGGGCTGAGCCCTCCCCAAGACCATCCTTTCCTCCCCACCATCCTTTTGGAGGACACCATCAGACAGACAACAGGGACTACTGCATGAAGCACCTCTTCCTCTGGAGAGGCTGAGGAGCACTGCCCTCCTCCAACAGACTGAGGAGCCATTCCTATGGGATACAGCACAGTAGCAAGCCCTGCTTCATTTTCCTCTTTGTAGCCAATTTATGCTGATAGGGAAATAAAAACGTTCCTTCATCAGAAGAATGTTCAATTATTTGAATAATCAGCAATCAAAAATTTACATGGACCTGTTAATAAAAAGTTTAAACAAATCCAGTTGCGATGGATTTCTCAATTATTAAAAAATATACATGAAATTAAAAAAGCTGCCCACTGAATAAAAGCGATAAAATCCTTTGTGTTCACCCCCCTCCTTCTCCATTCCCTTTCTTCCTTCCAGTTTAATGTAAGAGGAGAAGTGACAATTTGTTTGGTGTCTTTAAAGAATAATTTGTCTATGTTATTTAATAGAGATCCATGGCACCAAGGTTCTGGAGTGCAAATGAGGCTGCTGAGTGATATCCATGCAACAAGCCTCTCAAATCACTTCTGGAGAGAAACAGAGAGAGGGAGAGAGAATAAAAAAAATATTGCTTTTTAATATTCAAAAACAGTTTGCAAAATTTAATCAAAGCAGAGCAAAAGCTAACATTTTTACCACTTTGACATTTTTATTAGCGCTTTCATAAATTTTTAAAACATGAATGGAATTAGTTTAACAACAAAAAAAAAAACTGCCTGAAAACATCTGGAAGAGACAAATAAGAAATAATAAAAAATGAAAAAAAAAAATCCAACTCCTGTGAGTAAAATTAGCATGTGAAAAATGCAGCCGCTGCAGAGGAACTAACACACTTTTTTGGACCCTGGCTGCAACCCTCATGACCTGGAGGCGGAAATTATCGTGAGGTTGTACATGTGAGCTGGTGACATCACCACCCCACTAGGCAGCAGGAGGGCAAGAAGCTGGGTGGGTAAATGGAAATAACAGACAATTTAAATAGCCAGGAGGAACACCCAATTTCCACGGTGGACAGAGCCTGTAGATGCAGGAGAGCAGCTTTCCTGGTGCAACAGGCACACAGCCCAGACCAGGGCACGTGGGGAACATGTGCTGCTGATATGGAAAATTAGGGAAAAAAATTAAAATAAAATAAAGTGTTAATAATGTTAAGTGCCCAGGTGTAGACACAGAGCAGTGGAACTGCAGAGGATGCAGGGCTTAACTGTTTCCCCATGGTCATCTGTGCCACACTCCATGTGTGCCACGTGGGCTAAAGCAGAGCAGATGGTTGGGCACATCCTTCCCCACAGCCGTACCACCCCACTGGGAGTCACCAAATTTCCCCAGGAAAGAGAGGAAACTCGACCCAGGGGCTGGAAGGGGAGGAGAAGACACGTGCAAAACACCTGAGCATCACCCAGACTGCCTGTTGTGGTGCAGACAAACGCACCAGCTTCAGCCACCCAGGAGGACCCATGGAAACACGAGAAAGTAAGAAATGCTGGACACAGCATTTCTTCTCCCTTCCAAAGGGCTACCACAGAGAGGTTCTGAAAGCAGCAAATTTCTGTTCAGAAGGAAAACAGACTGCAAAGTTTGAAGCTAACGGACAGGCTGTCATAACAGAGCCACACTTAACCCCAGGATAACACTGTGGCATCTTTCAAATCGGGCTGGGGCGTCTCACTGCCCCTTAGGTCTGCATCCCACCCAGCGGGTGACCATGGAAGCGGGCAAGCCCATGGCAGGGCAAGATGAGCATTCCCCCTTCCGGAGAGAGACACACACCGGCTGGATTTCACAGCAGGGCTGCGCTGCAATGCCGGGATAGGTCCTAAGGGACCAGAAACATCCTGAGGGGCCATCAAGTGGCTGGATGCAAAGCGAGACTGAAAGACAGCCCTGCTGCTGATCTGGTACACAAAGGCGTTGCTGGCCTTCCAGTACCAAAGGCAAAAAGCACTTCCAGGAGGGTCGGATTAAGACAGACGGAGGAAATAAAAAGCCATACTAAAAAATTGTGGAAAATTTAACAGTATCCAGAATTGCTGCGGGTCTTTAGGAAGTGCATGGCCAGGAGTAGGGGTGGAACCCCAGAGGCGACTTGAGCGTCTTAAGAGAAAGAGCAGCCACTTTTTTGGGCTTATTTGGTCAGTTTTGGAAGCAAGTGGTAAAGGACCTTTCCCAAAAGGCTGTTTATCTGCACGCTTCCTATAGTGGAGATTTTTCCAGTCTCTGGCAGTGTTTGCTCCACTGGTATCTAAGGCAACAGATACCAGCCCCATGAAATCAGCCCCACTCCTCACTAACGATGTTAGCCAGTCCTGCAATGAAATTTAACCTGTGACACTGCTGTACTTTTCATTTAAACTTTCATTTGGAGAGAAGCAGTGTTTGGAGACCCTGCAGTTTGTCCTGCTAATAAAGACAAGTGTTGGGACCTTTAAAGGTGCCATTCATCTTTTGCCTTTATTAAATTCAATTTTCTTAAGCCCATGATACATCATGAAATTAAGAGTTGACATTCCTGCAGAAACAAAAATATCTATCAAACATAAACAGAAAGGGGGGAGAAAAGAGGCCTCTATTACCAAGAATTTATGGCTTAAAGTTGATCTGTTTCCACTTTTTTTTCCTCTCTCTTTTTTTTTTTTTACAAGCATATGGTTTGTTTTAGATATCCGAAATGTTATTACAGATCTAGAATTTCATTAGTAATTATTATGAAATGGTGAGCACTTAGACACTCACACACACAACCCCCCAGCAGACTGTGACGCAGGAAGGCAGCCGGGTGCTCTCTCACGTTTCACAGCAGCCCAGTGAGCTCAACATGCTCAGCTCCATCTCCACCATTCAAGGACCTTCACTGCTTCCTCCCAGAAGGGAAAGGTGGAGGAAAAGAGGCACGAGGGAGTTAAGAGGAGAGCTTCACTGACACTTCCTTTCTTTTATCTGAACCTGATCATCCATAGGTGTTACCTTGAGATCCTCACCCAGCTGCACTCCAACACTGAGTACATGTCCTAACTTCGGCAGTGATTTGTGCCAGCAGCATTTGGGGCTTCTAAGTCTTCCCCCTGACCCACCCCCAGCTTACAGCACAACCAGAAGTTATGGATGTGCTAAAATAATGCTGAGGGTGTCCAGAGGCTGCAAATAGCCGCAAGCTACCAGAAGAACAAATGTACTCATTTGAATTTTGCGAGCACTGCAATTAGGTATTTTATTTAGCACTGCAAAGTAACTTGAAAGGAAATCCAGGATTCAAACCACCACCAATAAATAAGCGGCTTTTTATTTTCCTTTCATTGTCACGAAAAGTTGAACATGTTTTCTGTTGAGAAATTCTGCACGAGGCTCCCAATTACAGGCATTTGCATTTATATTGTTGGAACACAGAGCTTCTAAAATCAATATTAACACGCTTAAAGAAAAAGGCATCGGCACCCTGTCCCTCCCCTCAGCTGCGCCCCCAAACACAGTAACAATAGGAACCTACAGAGCCAGAGGCTTATACATATCCATTACCAGGTCCACTCTCTTTACAACAATCTTGCATTTACGATTTCGTGGTCCTTCAAGCAAATCTATGTGACAGCTTCCTTCAGAATTTTTGCCTTTTCTAAAAACAAAAACAAGAGTTCCAGGTGAAAGCCTCTCGTGCAACCTGGCCAGTAGGCTGAGCAGCAGCAGGAGGCTGCAGGGTAACTGTGGAATGGCTAGGGACTTTCCTTTAAGAGGGATTTGAAAAATTCATAAGGGCATGTGAAAGCACTGCTATAAACCCAACCTTTCCTTACCCACTCGTCCTAAACGAAACTCCCCTCCCTTTAACACCAGAGCAGGGATGCACCAATTCAGCCTTCTTGATCTTCTTGCTAATAAAAGAAATTAAGAAGAACAAAACTATACTTGCTAAACAATTTCCTGTCAGAGAAGAAAGCACCTGAAATTACACTAATTCCCACAGAGGAATCTTTTTGCTTATCCTTTTGGATCTGGATAGCACTCACATCATTAGACAGAAAGAATAAAGTGCCCAGCAAGAGCTTCCCAGCTCTCAAAACCTTTTAATACAGAAGCCTATGTATAAAGTGGCCAGGCCACTCTTCAGGACACTGGGTTACATATTTGAGGAAGGCCGTATGGCCTATTCAGTTCAAAAACTACGAGAGAATAATTTATCCCTCACTCTAACCCCCATGTGAAGAAGTTTAATAAACACAGGAATAAAAGATGCCCATAAAAATCAGAGCTGACTGTTCAAAATGCAATAAAAACAAGCAGAGGCTGTTGAGAGAAACGGATTTTGTCTGATAAGGAAAAGCATAAAACTTCTTACTGAAAGAACCCTTTACACCTTCAGAAAAAGGTAAGGGCAGAAGAGGCAAGGGAGTGTCTGTGGAGGGGCAGAGCCTTAGCACCAGCTCATTTTGTTCAGGGATGCTTCCCCCCACCAAAGAAAAAGTCATTTTATGCACAAGGAGCTTATTTCTTAAACAAACACTCGTGTTTTTGATTTACACCACGGGCTGCTCCTAAATAATTTATGGCGGGTTAA